TTTTGTTGATTTTTCTTTAAAAGTGGATATTACCTCGTTTTCTCTTATAACGTGTACCATTTTCAATATACATGACCTGGAAATGACACTTGCTTAATTACACTAACTCGCTTAGCTCAATGACTTGACGAGGAAAGTTATGAATTATTTATTGAATAACAATTAATATTACAAATAATAATATATACGTATAAATGATAGAAATTTTTGTTAAAAATAATTAAATATTAGATGAAAATTGATATCTATTACTATAACTTCCAGCTCCTTCTCCTCTCAATTTTTTTAAAACAATAAGATATATTATAATATAATGGAATTATTTGCTATAAATATCACAATATATAAAAAGATTGATTTTCTAATGGTTTCCAAATGCTTAATTTTGAGCTTGATTGAAAATCCAGGTGAAATTATTACAATGGAAAATCAAAGAGTTGATCAGTCTTAAACAAAGTTTTCATGAAAAATATTTTACAAAAAATTACAATATTATTTTTGCAATTATAGAAAATTTCAATGATCTACAATTTCTCATATTGTAAAATATTTTATCCCTTATATATTGCAATACTTGCATTATTTTTATAGAGAAATTCTAAAGAATATCTAGATTATATCAAATATAAATCAATAATAATATTTATATTTCTATCTACTTTCTTATATTGAATCTATTCCTATTTTTAAATCTAACCAATTTTAAAAGTTTTTATATCATATACCTATATATTTCAGCAACAGTGTAAAAGTCGAGTCGTATTTTGATTAAAATATTTAAAACCCAAAAAGATCAAGAACTAACGCTTTAAACATAACATTTAGAAGACGGAAATTAATTTCTCTCTTCAATCTAATAATTTCCAATCGATTAGCTTTCGCCAATTTCAATTTCATTGGCCTTTCACCGCCATAAAAATCGTATCTTTCGTACAATCTCTCAAATAAATACATAATAGAAAGAGCAGTGTACCAGCTGGCAGTTCTTCGACGACGCCTTTTCTTCGAACAACGGCCGCATTTTCTACACGGAGGAGAATTATTCGCCCGATATCTCGGGCCACGGATGGAATCCACGTCGCATAATAGCCTATCCCCACGGTTTCTATCGATCCGATACGCTCGATGGACGTTGGAATAAATCGGATCGAGGGAATGTACGATGCGTCCGGCCAACAATCGATATCCAATCGGGTATCGGATCGATCGTTGGACGGACAATAAGCGTGACAAAGAGGCCACTCCGCTCGTTTCGATCGCTTTTACAACGAAATATTCCTCGCCGTTTTCTCCCAGAATCAAATGGAATACCACGCATCCCCTACTTCCACACGGAGAAGGAAACTTTCGAATATGCAAATTCCACCTTTTACCGGTTTTAATTTTTCATTATCGTATTATGTAACTTAAAAGGTTATGCGTGCATCGTTAATTTTGGATATCGAGTCAAATTGCTCGACGCGATAATGGGATGGACGATCACTTTAAAGTAATGCTTCTTGTTATTATTTCTTTATTTTCTATGGTTTTATACGATTTTTTTCTAGAAAAAAAGTCACTTTTCCTTTGCCTCGGTCTAATTAAATCACACATCTTTTCATTTATGCATATATCTTGATCTAAGATAAAATTATTATTTCTTGCTACGTGAAAAAAAAAAACTTGGAATAAACCAATAAATATAAACCAACATTTGATAACAATCCATTTCTCAAAAATAAAATTCTAAAATTTTTTTCCCCAAAGATTTTCACTGGAAATAATTCTTTTCTTTATCAGCACAATTTTCTTAAAATCATTCCTTAATTATCGCACAGCTCGTTCGAGGAAAAAGAAGAACTTCGCCTTGCAGAGAATCTCTCTGCGACCATGAAAAGATGTGACAATCGTGCTCCCTTTTTCACCTCCTTATAGAGAAAGAGAGAGACACAGAGAGAGATATATATATCAATCGAGCACGGGATGGAATTTTACCGCGTTCCCATGAAACACGGTAGATTAACTCTTCCGACGAGTTGTTGGTTCGAAAATCGTTGCCGGTTCGTGCGTCCGCTAAACTTTTACTTTGCAAATCGATAGTGGTAACAGGCGGATCGTTCCATCGTCACGGGAATCCGCGTACACTCGGGCTCGTGAGAAAGTTGGCAACGCGTTTTGATCTTTTAATAAGGGAATAATCGTAGTCGAGAGCGAGATAGAAGAAGTTTCGATCATCTTGTTGATTGAAGTTCGAGAGGCTGATATCGATAGATAGAATTGAGAGACGAGATCTTGGAATGTAAATATTATTCCTTTGTACCTATAATTATGTATTTTAAGTGTATTAATTAACACACCTTATTGCGAGTAAAATATATAAAATGTAAAGAACGGTTTTTCTAAAAGAAAAAAAAAAATTACTTCGATCCACTTTTAGAAAACTGCGCAAAAAGTCGCTGGAGGATAAAATAATGTGATAACTAATTGTAGAATATCATAGAGGAATCGTGATAGCCGTGATTAATTAATTAAGGACGAATCGATCGTCGAGAAGAAGAGCAATTTCATCTTTAATGGCAGCTCGTCGTAAGAAGTTGGGCCGTGAAAATTAATGACGTGCCCGTGCAATGTTATAGCACATTAATTATTTAGAACGATTATCCATAGTTCGAAAGGAGAGTATCGGTTAATCCGCTTTCGTGCTGCGGTAAAACGAGCCTTCGAGCAATGGGGGATATAAGTACTCGTTCTATTAAAATTTTTTTATTCCTAAGTTTTCGCCATGCAAAGTGGTTTATCGAACTTTCACAATGTTAAAAAAAAAAAAAAAAGAGATAAAAATTGTTTTGAATTGATGGGAAAATCGTGGAACGAAAAGGTTTTTTGGATGCACTTTGATCCAACGTTTGATGGACGTAGTGAATGAATTAATTAACACTGTGAGAACAGCAATTTAAAACCAATATATCGAGAATCACAAATATAAATTTCGTATCTATATTATTATTGAACCATATATTTATAATTTTAAAAACTATGTTATGTTTAAATGAATTTTAAAAAAGAAAATTGTCATATTTTTTTTTTTGCATATCATTGAATAAATATTGGGAAAAAGTTACTTCTTGATTATAAGTAATTTAACAAATAATATTAATTTATTATTTTGCGAGAAAAGATTGGAAAAAGATTGAAGAAAATCGCTGCGATAAAAGGAACATGTAAATCCTAAATTGCATAGAGTCAAACATGACTCGGCACAACTACTTCGCGAATCAGCGTATACACTGATAAGCTATCTCAGTCATTAATAATTGCTAAACAAGCAATAAGCATGCAAATTGTAATAAGCTTGTCAATTATACAATACAAATAATAGAATGCGACTTTTTGCGCCTCTTATGATAATGAATCACCAGCGTTTATTTTATTAAAAAACAGTTTGGTAATGTAATTTTTACATGTATGATTATTTATCATTTATAAAGCTAAAAAGAAGAGAGTTCATAAAAAAGTTCTTTAAGAACTTCCATCTCCTTCCAAATTTTTCTCATTCAAAATTATTCTTACACAATAAGAAATATTATTTGTTAATAATAAAAAGTAATTCATCGTAAATCAATAAAAAAAAAAAAAAAAAAAAAAACTCTGAAAAGATTTGTTCGAAACGAAACTCAAATTTTAAATAGCTTGAATACTATTATAAATAAAAGGCAATTATAAATTTTTGTTCACTATATAGTATAAAAAAATATTATTACTATTAAAATTGCACAAAAAAATCTACATTTCATTCCATCTACTCATAATCTAAACATAATTCTAAAACAACCAATACAAAAAATTTAGCATTCGACTAAACACACACGTACGGTACTGCAAAATTCAACATGGATGGTCACCTTGCTTTAAATCGAAAGGATCTATCTAACCTAACTTAATTTCTAGACGGTTTTTTCTAAGAAAGGGATACAAAAAATACAGCAAAAGGGATGTGAATAAAGGAGCCGTACGAGGGGAGAGGAAAAGTTTGAATTGTTGGTACGCAGCTCGCCCTTGAATATTTTACATCACTTTCAAGAGGGGAAGCCTCATTCCCATGAGGTGAAGCAAAGGCCTTGTGGTTATAATATTACGACGCTCGTTTCTTCGACTAAATCCTGCACACGTGAAGCTGCACCTGATTAGATTAGATAATGGCTATGGATCGATCGTGGAAAAAAAAAAGAAAAAGAAAAAAAAGCGAGGGAAAGGAAAGGAAAAGTAATCGATGCGACGATAAGAGTGACATCTATTAACGTCAATGTTTGCCAGATGTTTTAAAAAGCGAAATCTTTGAACTTGGTTTAATTTATATAGATAACGATCGATTTTTACGATTTTTTTGTAACGAATACACAACTTCAAAAGGCTTTCGATCGAAGAGGTTTATCCTATAAAGCTTTTGTCATTTTTTTTTTTTTTATATATATATTTAATAGTGGCAATGTTCTTTTCTTTTATGTGTGGATTTTATGTGAACTATGGAAGAGAAAGAGAGAGATTTTTATCTTCAATAAAAATGCCACTTTTTGAACTTTAATTTTTTTACCTCATCTGAAATTTCTAGGAAAAAACGATCTTTTCTTCATATAAAATTTACAATCAGAAATTTTTAATCATTTCATAATCATTTTAACAGAAATAATAAGATAATCATAAAACATTCTATTGATCATTGATACCGCGATGAATAATCAAAGATATGATTGATTTTATTAATTGTCGACATAATAAGATAATCATAAACTCATTGATATTGTAAAAATGAATAATAAGATTAAGATTAAGATTAACTATATCTATTGCAAGATAGAATTAGTCTTATTACAAATTATGTAATACCGTTGAGTATAAACAAAAAACTTTTTTGTCTGATTGAAAACGAACATTGCCCTATTATTTCTTTCCACGTAATAATCGAATATTAAAAATAAATAATAAAGTGAGTAATAATAAGAAGATGTAAATCTATCATTTACCTTGTGATTTCTCGGTGTCCTCGAGAGATTACTGCGTCCATTGATGAGAACATTGTCGTTGCAGAACGACACGTCGCAAGGGGACGGTGGACCACCGCTGAGCTCCCATTCACCATCGTCTGTCGTCGACGCGTCCAACGTGGCGTCCAAGACTATGATACCACCGTCGCCGACCTGAAACAAAGAGAAGAAAGGAAAAGAAGAAGAAGAAGAAGAAAACCAACTCTTAAAATTTATGGAACGTGGAACGTTGCGAGTTGACTTTCGTCGACCGAGTTTTCAAGGAATCCTCTCGTCACGATTGTTATTTCACGAAATATTTTCACCTCCGCAACGAAAATATCCATTTTTCCTTAGAGAGAAAAAAAAAAATATTTGTGTTCAAATACTGAGCCGAGAAGAGGGCTATTACACGCAACACGGGCAAAGTGGATTTCTGCTTGTATGAGCATTCGCGCCCACGTGCCCTCCGCCTCCGTTGCAATTTGCACGCGCAAGGCGAACCAGACGTGTTCCAACGACACAGACCTACCCCAGGTGTTCTCCCGAAATAAAGGACTGGCGAAGGTGTTTCGAGAATATCCGCACGTAGAATCGTGTATTTGAAAAGCGAAACGAAAGGGTATAATTTTATATAATTATGTGGTTGAGATAACAAATTTAGAATTATTATAGAATTCTTCTTTTAAATATATCTTCTGTAGATTGAAATTTTAAGAATCATTCGTGTATTATATTTAATTGTATTGCTTCAATGCATAAATTATTCGTAAATTCTCATTTAGAGTTGTGTATAGTTTTATATTAGTAATTATAAATCTCGCATGATTATACTATTTATAATATTAATTATAATATAAATTATTTTGCAGGAATTTTTTCCAATATCTTATTTATACGCGTGTCATTTTTCATAAATTTCTAAAAATTTAAACGACCAATCTGAATCTGAAGAGTCTCAAGCATCCTAACTTTCTCGATGCGTCCGTTTCCTTCAACATTCAATGTCGAATAATTCGCATTGGATGACACGCGCGTTATTCATCGGCATCCGCCGCTTTTCAATCATTTCGTGAATGAACATCCTGTCGATTTGGAAGCCGCTTTCAAACTAAAAGCGATACGGACTCGTCTTTGACACGCACCGTCCTTCGATTGTCTTTCCTGTATTTATATCTGTATCAGTATATTTCTCGTGTTTATTTCTCTTCTCGAGTGATTAATGTAAAAACAATATAAGTAACGTGATTCGTCGACGATTTTTTAAACATATTGTTGATTATTTATTTAATTAATCGATTTTCAATTATTGTTATTTATAGATAATAACTTTACATAATTTTATTATATTATTATTGATATTATTATTGATTATATTGTACAGGATCGAATTTTTATTTATTAAATTTCAAGAAAAAATAAATACATAGAAATTTATTATATTCCTTGAATATTTGTCTCCTTAGAGAGTAAAATGTAGTAAAATTTCTGTATATTCTCCATAAATACATAAATATTTGCAATCTAATTATAAGTAATTTAAATTTATGGCAGATAAAACGAGATATGTCTATCTCCATTATTCCATATATTCATTTCATCCAATAGAAACTTTAGAAATTACACATAACTTAACAAATAAGCATCAATTTTTATGATACTCTTTTATAATAACTTTGTCTCTAGAATTAAAATTATCTTCAAATGTATGCGAATATATTATTAAGATCCTCGATATAACATTCACAAATAATTTTTAAATTACTCTATATACAAAGTTACTAAACCTTTGATGTTCTAAATTTCGATCAATTCCTCAAATATAATCTTCTCTCGTTTAAAAACTTTTGCATCGAATCGCTCTTTCCCACATAATCTTTTTCGTCCCTTCTCCATCCAAAACAACAAATGAAAAATCATTCTCCTCTCCCTCCTGCAAAAATTTCACCTGCAAATCCGCCGCTCGTTCGAGGCGGAATAAAATCGCGCGTGAAACGAAACGATCGGCCGATTTCCGGTCCAGTTCCTCGTTATCGCCCACCCCGAGACGTTTCGAGAAAGCGATCCATCCGCGCGACAATTCCCTCCTCTTCCGCTTCCCCACTCCCCCAACGCCTAAAGAATTCGGGTTGAACGGCGCGATCTAAGGAAGAAAAAATGCGGTCACGGATCATAACGCGAAGCCACATTACGGACGAGCAGAGATCGGGGCCGCGTAACGCAATATCTGGATTTGAATATAAACGTGCCACGGATTCACTGGAATGAGAAGATATCGATCATGAGTCGCGGTGGATCATCGATGAAAAAGATAACGAGAGACATACATACTTCTACTCTTCCATTTTTAAATTTCAATAAATTGGAAAATTGGATTTAGATTTTCAGAAGTGTTTGTATCGTAAAATAAACGATATGATTCGATGGTAATACTTTTTTACTTATTATTGTAATATTCGTCGTGTATTTAAGAATATTCTTCGAATAGTAAGAAGAATAGGTGAGAATAGATATTAATTTAAACAGTGATAAAAATTTGAAAAATATTACTTCAATTTTGGATTAATTTGGATAAATCACTAATGCGTTTCAAGAATTCAATTCAGTTCGATCAAAAGTAAAGTGGGAATTCCAATACTATACAATAAATAATGAAATTGTTATCAATGCCCGATTTAGCATTAATTTTTCCGATAAAATCAGCAACAGATTTAATAATAACACGTATTTAAATATCGGAGAACGAATAATTTTAATGCCCTTAATTACTAATGAAAATGCAATTCCCTTCTTTTTCGTTTCTTTTTTAACATCGACGATTAAAGAGCGAGCGAAATTAATCCGTGGAGTTATCGTACAAATGGTAATGAACGTTCACTGATGCGCCCGTGAGAAGAAAGTAACTCAATATTTCCGTTTTCTTTCCATAGAGCGGTTAGATATCTCTATTGTGCATTACGCAAGCGATTCCACGCGATAAGGGATCGTGAGAAAAATCGTTCGTTTACGTAGCGTAATCTCACTGAGCGACTCCAAATATAGGCGGATTAATTCTGACACCTTCGAATTAACGTTAATACATCCATTCCGTAAATATAGATCGCTAACGATTACACCGATTTCGTTAGCTAACTCTGGCAGCCACCCACGTTTTTCGAATTTACGAGGTTAATTAATTGAACAGGATGATTTATAATTCGTTAATTAAAAAATATTCGCTTCGGAAATGGAACTAATTGTTAGATACGCAGTGCACGGTTCCGCGTTGGAATAATTTTGAAAAGTAAAAGGAAACGATTTAAATTCAATGCTTGAGTCATGCTATTGATACAATTATCGACGACAAAGTTAATTAGATGATAAAAATTAGATAAATCTTTATATTACAGATGTTCTTTGAATCGAGCCAATTTAACTTTCACAGTCCAATGATTCTTGAGTACTATAATCATAACGATGAAGCTAATTTGAATAGTGAAAATTAGATAACTTTGGATAAGATTCGTCTTTGAACTATAGACCAGTTTTTGATCTAATGTGTAACGCTTTTACGGTCTAATAATTGAATTTGAAAAATCGATTTGGTAAAACCAATTAAATAACAGAAGTTGAATAAGTTTGGAACCATTATGGATTATTTTTTTTTTTTTCATCGTGATACACATCCTCCTCAGCATTGAGGGAAAAGCATAAATGAAGCAAAGGTGGAGGAAGGAAGGAGCGGCAATGAACCTAAAGACGGGGGTCCCTGACTTCATGAGAAATTCCCAGGACGTTTCTTTCCATTATTCCAGGGGTATCACTCTTACTGCGCAGACCTTGAACCCTCGAAGAGTCCACGACACTGTCCCAACGAATGCACCTGCGCTCATGGAGATGTAAAGCCCGCATAAGTTAGCTCTTTTGTCGTGTCGCTCGAGGAGTCAAAAGAGAGATGGAGGCCGGATGTGTGTATGTGGGGTGTCTTGAAAATAAGCTTGGCGAGTCAATGGCCTACTCGATTTCAAAAGTTTTCAATCAAGAACTTTGACGAGTAATTTAAGAGAGCAAGATATGATCTTGGAGAAAGAGGATATAGAAGAAGATATTATTATGATGCAGTGAGATGTATAATTTTCCAATAATGAAAAAATTTGCAATTTATGTTACACAATGTAATTTTAAATTAATAATTAGTCTCTGGTTAAGTGAATTTTTAAGTTATTACTAAGTTTATTCTTGATGTTTCATTTTTTGGAATTTCTTTTATTCCTATGTTTGTTAATAGATTATGGATCCTTTTGCAAAATCAAATTTTGAATTTAAACACGAGGCTACATCATTAATTAATAATAATATCTTTTATGAGTCTTATGTAACAAATTTATTAGTTACTTTAAAATGAGTATATAAAAGATGTGCATAACATTACATAACGGAGGATATTACCACATTTCGTTTATTGAAAATTATTCTTCTAGACAGTAGGAAACATTTTATTGTGAATTTTGTTTGAATAAATGTAATTAATGAAAAATTTAGATTTTTAAAAGAATATTTTATTTCACTCTACCACCATTTATAGCCATGATAGTTATATTTAATTTAATTGTTTTTCAGCAAGACACGGCTTCATAGATTCATGGTCTTCGAATAATGAGTTTAGCAATCTAGTTCAAACAATGTAACTATCTGCATATGAAATTATGATCTTTTTACGCGAGCGAGATTCTACGCGAATAATTAAAACCGTATTAATTCTCCGCAAATTTATTTGCATTTTGCGTTAAGCATACTCATTAAGTATAAGTCGATCGAATCAAAGGCTATCACGATTTGATATCTCTTCAAAAGAAATTTCACCGACGTTTCTGTTCCATATAACGATATGAAACAGTAAATCCAACAATTTCGATTAAAAGTTGTAAGAATAAGAATGCAAACATCCTTACTCACTTACTATTTAAATATATAAAATTTGGATATGATACTTTTTGAATTATTTTCTTTGGATCTACTCTCTACATTAAAAAGATATACAATAGTAAAGAGTGATACGTTATCATGTTGATATACAATGATATATACTGTCAGATGCATATTTACAGTTCATATTATACAATTTTTCATTCCTTATTACGTTCCAATCGAGTAATACTTAATTATCGACTATTTTGTCGATTGCCACTGAAAAG